CCGGTGGACCTAGTTTAAAGTGCGTCTAATGAGGTTTGCGAGTCTGTGAGCAAAAAGGTGTTTTCCTACTTTCCTATCAAGCAGAGTGCATTGCATCAGTTCTACCTTGTGGTACAAAACAGGAGAGAAATACTCAGAATGCTCTTGTAAAACTGAAAAAAGTAAAATTGCATATACTATTTCAAGAAATCCTTCTGGAATAGAAAAGAAGTTAGATACCTATATCTTGAGAGAAGAGCTCCTAAAGCTGGCTTTTTAAGATTTTTAAATATGATTGTAATGTTTTATATGTTTTTAATGTGCACTTAATCTTAATTTTAAATCTTTAACTTAATGTATTTTATCTGTTTGTTGTTCAAAGGCATTGAATAGTTACCATATGTAAAGCCGCCTTGGGATAGAGAAAGGTGAAATACAAATAGAATAAATAAATAAATAAATAAATGGCATCATGAGAGAGAAGCCTCATCAATTCTTCCTTCCTATACAGAGGGACATGACTAACTTTTTGGAAGATAGGGAGAAGAAGAAAAATGTGCATCCATAGATCAAAGAAAGAAACAGAGAGGAATCAGAAAAGGGCAGGCACACTCTCTAGAGCTCCTTCTGCTACATAGGTGTTGATGCTTCTTCTCTTCCCATCCAGTTCTTTTCTGTATGGAGATGCAGTTGCTGTACCTAACTTCCATTTCTCCCGCATGTGATTGTTTTTACATTTAAACATTTAAATATACTATTTTAAGAAACCCCTCTAAAATAGAAAAGAACTTAGATACTTGTATTTTGGCAGAAGAGCCCCTAAAGCTGGTTCTTTGGATATAAGCCACCATGAGGCAGGGGTCTCATCAATTTTCCCTTCCTAGACAAGGGCTTTCTTCCACACACTTTTAATGTTTCAAACTGCATTAAATGATCGGTATAGATGGAACCATTGACAAAAGTCATACTTGCTGGTGGCTCTGTGTATGTGTAACAGCTATAGTTCAACATCTTTAGAAGGTTACTGGAATGGAGAGCTTAGACACAATTTAGCCACTAAACTTAACAAATGTTTTCTATTTTAAACATATAAAAATGAAGTGTATGGGTTTTTTTTAAAAAAAAACTGAAATTGGATATAAAGAGTAGATCATGCCCCTCCCCAACTGGCTTGATTTGACAGTGTCAGTCCCAATTAATTCTCTCTCATCCCACTTCTTTAGTTGCGTTTAAAATGTCCCAGTTTCTCTCTCCTCCTTCCATTTTCTCTCTTTACTCTTGGCTTACTTCACCTGTCACTGAGTGAATTCAAAGTACAAATTCACTTATCTGCAAATAGCTTTTGCGCACATGGGAGAGGTGAGGAGGGGGCAAGATCTTTCCCTCCCCAGTAGTCTCTAGCAAAGACAGGCTATGGTGGCTTCTAATAGCATATGTGTTCTTCCTTGTTAATAACTTTGGGCCATATTGTGCTCAATTTGATATTACTAAGCCACATGATTTTCTGCTGTGAAATTTTGGAAGATACGGCAGTCCTTCTGATTCATTGTTCTAGAGATTTCTTTTTAATAGCTTTCTTTCACACTTGCTAGTTGCTTTCCTTGCAGTTTTATGACATTCCTTAACATGAGTTTCCTTTTTCCTGTGTCTCAATTCTCAGTGTGACTGCACAGCATTTTCTCATGGAATGTCCCTCTTGCCTCCTTTACTGTTCTTGTTCACAGCACCAGGAATTTTTTCCTGTTTATTATATTGACAGGCTGCATTCAGCATGTATGTGTATGTTGATTTTACACTCGCACAAAGATTTTTTTTACAGAAATCTCCTTCATTATTTTGAGCTTTGTAGTATAAGCCTGAGAAAACAAAAATCAATATGGATTTACCTGCAATCTGCCAATAGTTATTCAGTCAAGAGTATAAACATAAATATTCTTCTAACAAACAGGAAAGTTTCATTAGTGAATTTACATTACTCTCCCGGCCAGGCCACAAATACCTACTAGAACTATGCCTTTTGTTTCCAGAAATTTTCTTTTAAGTCATTACAAGAGAGAATTATCTTCTTTCCACGTGATTCATAAAAGTGAACCACATATTAAGATTCTCTCTTGAAGCCAAACAATGGAACAAAACAATTCTACCAGCACAAAGTGCCAGAATACAAAGGATGTAAGTTTCGGGATTTTTTTTAAGAGCAGGAAGCTTTGTTATTGGAAACTCCTGCTAATGCTGCATGGTCTTGCACTACGTAACCACTGTCTGGTCCTGGAAACTGTCTTTTTTGTTGCATCAAGCTGGCAATGACAAATTCATCCTGCTCTCTGTGTGCTTTCTTCAGTTTTGAATGTAGGCACACTTAATCTTCATCTGGACCATGCAGTAATCACAGTAAACAAATCTGAAGAAGCTTGTGGTCTAGTGCCTTCTCTGTTTGCAGAGGGAGGGCCCAGAGTGCTAGAGAGCTGAAGTTGTGAATGACCTTCATTTCTCCACTGACCTTTTGAAGCTGGAGAGAGTAATGGTATAGGTAGCCTTGCAGAGTTTTCAGGTGCAAAGATTTCTATCATGAATCTTTTCCTACATACTCCTGAGCATGCTTGCTTTCCTTTCTCCTCTAACTCAACTATATGCTGAAGAAAGTATTTACTTGTAGAAATTACAGTTCAGATTTGTGTTTCAAAGATAATTTGTGCCAATGTTCTCAGGAGAGAAAGAACTAAAAGACTGATATATAGATTAAAGATAATGAAAGGTGATTTCCTCATGTGTCTTAGTTTCGGTTTATGTATCTGGACCAGTATGGTAATAACCTCTGTGGAAAAGAGTGAGTTTTGATGGCCTCCATGGTGAGACCATAAGTTATGCTAGGTACGAGAATGCAGCATGTGATGAGGATGTGTGTCCTTGGATTGTCAAAACCCTCCTATTCTCACTGCAGTGTGATTTTTCTGATCATTTTGGAATCAGGTGGATTTTTTTTGCCTTTGATTTTTTGCCCACCCCATTATTGAATCTGAGAGGCTTTGACAATTGGCTGAGAGTGGTGTCTGTAAATGGGGGTGGGGTGGGGGAATTTAAGATGAAAGTGTACATCCTGGCACTCCTTTTGGCAAAGAGTACAACAGGTTCTGGTATCTGAAGAGTAGTGAAGGTGTCTATACTTGAGGCAAACATGGTTTTGCTCTCACTTATGAGGTCCTGAGACTTGGATGGGAGTGCCTTTCAATAAATGGCTAGCTGTGGAGCATCCCATTTATGGGATTGTCCAGGGATGAGGTCCAAAATATTTTGCGCAAGGGAGGTAGTTACTGTAGACACCTGGTCTCAGGTAGATGCATAACAGGTTAATCTCCCTCTTCTTCATTTCAGATCAAATTAACTTACATACAATATAGGTCAAATAAATGACTCTATTTAGCTCAGTTTCTGTGCATTATCTCATTATTCCATGGATGATGACCAGTGTTTGTTAAAGATGGACTGGAGTTCTTCCCTTGTATTATAAGTATGAGAACTATTTGCACACCATGTAGACATTTGGTAAAAATATTCTTCAAACTTTAAGATGAATTGTGTATATTGACTTGGAAATCAGGGAAATAATTCAGTTCATGAAATGAAATAGCATGTTTCGGCTGATAGCTTTCGAATGTAGCAGCTTTCTGCCTATACAACTGGAGATTGAATCTAAACCTGTTATCATATCTGTGTTGTTTTAAAATAACTATCCAACCTGTCTCTCTTTATCTCTTTCTAGGCCTGAGGCATCAGCTATGGAAGCAACACATATAAATATGTCGCAAGCCCCGCTAGTTAATGGGGGCATCACTGCCAAGATTAAGAAATGCAAACCTCGCGTGATGTCCAAAAGTGGTCACAGTAATGTGCGGATTGACAAAGTGGATGGGATTTACCTGCTTTACCTCCAGGATCTGTGGACCACTGTCATTGACATGAAGTGGAGATATAAACTTACTTTGTTTGCTGCAACCTTCATAATGACCTGGTTCCTTTTTGGAGTCATTTATTACGGCATTGCATTTCTTCATGGAGATCTGGAGGGGAACAAGTTCCCTTCCCAACATATGCCCTGTGTCATGAAAGTTGACTCACTAACTGGGGCATTTCTCTTCTCTTTGGAGTCCCAGACGACCATTGGTTATGGCTTTCGATACATCACTGAGGAATGTCCTCATGCTATTGTCCTCCTAGTGACACAGTTGGTTGTTACGACATTAATTGAAATCTTCATCACTGGGACCTTCCTGGCCAAAATTGCTAGACCCAAGAAAAGGGCAGAGACCATAAAGTTCAGTCATTGTGCTGTTGTAACCAAACACAATGACCATCTTTGCCTTGTGATCCGAGTGGCAAATATGAGAAAGAGTCTTCTGATTCAGTGTCAGCTGACTGGAAAACTTCTTCAGACCTATGAAACCAAAGAAGGAGAGAGGATTCTACTAAACCAGGCCAGTGTCAAATTCCATGTTGACTCCTCCTCAGAAAGCCCTTTCTTGATTTTACCTCTGACTTTTTATCATGTATTGGATGAGAATAGCCCTTTAAGTGATCTTACTCCCCAAAGCCTGAAAGAAAAAGATTTTGAGCTTGTTGTCCTTTTGAATGCCACAGTAGAGTCAACGAGTGCAGTTTGTCAGAGCCGAACATCATATATTCCAGAGGAGATCTTCTGGGGTTTTGAATTTATGCCTGTAATTTCTCTCTCTCAGAATGGAAAATATGTTGCAGATTTTAGCCAATTTGAGCTGATCAGAAGAAGTGCGGATTTTACCTTATATAATTCAGGCTCTGAAAAGCAAAAACTAGAGGAGCAGTACAGAAAGGAAGACCAGAGAGAGAGAGAACGCAGAACATTGTTGTTGCAACAAAGCAATGTTTGATTTCCCATCTATTCCAAACTGTAACAAAGTTTGGGCAGTAATCTGTATGGTTTCACTGTCCTGAAAATGGAAAGGGAGAAAAAACATATTTGAACAGCTGTGAGGTGGAAAGTATCCATCCTATTATCATGGGAGACAGCTTTCTGGGTTGGGAGCCCACATTGGATTCCCTCATCCCACTAAGGGCCACTTTATGCTAAAATTTAGCAGCAACTGCAGTAACTTTCTATGCACAAGAGAATGCCAGAGTATGCACCTATACCATAGAATACTTCTGTTCTGCAGTCCAGATTGTCTCTGTACTTTATAGAAGGTAAAAACAAATAGGAGGCGGTTGATAATAGTCTAGGAGCCAAATATACATATGGATTGCATGTCTCCCACGTCTTCCTTATCACTAGACATAGCTAATCAACATATAATTGTGGAATTATATGTTATCATGTTATCATAGGGCCTAAATGCATTGAAGGAATCAGATCTCATCTGATCTTGAAAGCTAAGCCGGGTAAGCCTTATTTAGAACTTGTATGAATACCGCCAATTAACAGGTGCTGTCAGCTATATTTTAGAGGAACTGGCAAATCCTATCCCCTTTGAGTATTCCTTGCCTTAGAGAACTCCATGAAATGCACATGGTTGCCATAAGTTGACGGGAAACCTTGAGGCATGCAAACATTCTATCATACCTGGGATGATATCTCCTAGAAAGAAGATACAGACTGAGTGAGACTATTGGTCCACTTCTGTTGATTGACTAGTGATACCTGACTGACATTTTTCCCAATTCTATCTGGAATTGTCAACCATTGAACCTGGGCCATTTTGCTTGTAAAGCCAACACTCCACCATAAACTTATAGTCTTTCTCTGTTTTTTCATCAGTCTTCAACATGGCAGGTTCCACAGCATACAATGTTCAAATGCTGTCAAGATATGGAGACTGATATATTGAGCAAATTCTCCAGATATTTATTTGACATAGTTTAGATGTATAAGTAGGATTAAATAATTGATTATGAAACATTTTATATTTTTGTGTGGAAGGAATTTATTTACCAAGATTTCACACCTAGATGTTAAAAACATTTATTTTATGCGTAAAAATTGTAGAGATGGAAGTATTGAAATATTTGGAAAATTGTAGCAAGCAATGAGTGGCTTCAGTTTAATAACATTTTGTACTATAGGATTAAAAAGCAATCTGATGTATGCTAGCACACCCCAGGATTTCCAATATGCTCAAGAGTTATTCATACTCATCTGTGAGACAAAACCTTAATCCAGTTTGGTCCCAAATAGAGTAGACATATTGAATCAAGAGAACTTACATAAGTGTTAGTTTACCAAATTCCCATTGAGTTAATGGGTCTATTCAGGATGGAAATATCAATTGTCTATCCTTGACCAGTGATATTGTATGTACTGGGCTTAAAATGTAAAAACCAAAATGAGAAAGAGAGGAGACAAAAGGAAAAAGAGAAATATATAGTATTGCGCTGGAGAAATGATGGCAAACTATTTGAAAATGGGAGGGTGGTTGTCAGTGTCACAAATTCATGCTAATATGAATCATGATCAACAGTCTGGCCCTGACAAGAAGCCCTTTCTTTGTTTCCCCACCAAATCCCTGAATATTTCTTGAAGTCTGTTCCTTCCTCTCTTCCCCAAGACCCAGAATTTTCTTGCCTAACCACAGAACAGCCATGTAATTGTCGGAGGAGAGCAAAGAGCAGTTGAGGATCAGTTGGCTATGTTCTTTTACAAAGTTCATGACAGCCCTGGAATCCTTCAGTATCTCCTGGAATCCTACTGAAGTCCCATTATGATTTACCAACCAGCATCAGAGTTTTGCTTGATGATAATTTGGGGAAAGTGTGTGTGTGTGTGGTGGGGGGGGGGGCTTCTACATGGCTGTAGACTGACAAGAAAACAGTGACCCTTTAAAAGGAGATTTTTACCAACTGCATGGTTTTTGAATATCCCATCAGAGTAAAGAGAATATTAAATAAATGTTTTCTTTTCTTTTGTGGGAATGAATTTTTAAAAATCCCTATGCTGGACTTTCTTGGATATTGTATTTGGTAGAAGCAAAATAGAAAGCAGAGACTTGCTATAACAATGAATTATGAGCTTGCCTCCTGCAAAAAGAAAACAAAAGACACCAGGAATCAATGTACTTGTTCCTCTCATCTGCCATGCAAGGCTAGCAGGGAGGATCAAGGCATGATGATAAGTTTAATTGTAAGAATATATTGTGTCCCAGTGTGTGCTTACCTCTCTCTCTCTCTCTCTACACTCCCATCCTTCCAAATTAAATGAAAGTTTTTAAATGTGTCTAAGGATGGGGTTACAACAGAGACAACACGGACCACAGTCCAATTGTTGTTTTCAGACGGATGTGGCCCATTGAATCCGTGGAAAAGTGGCAAGGGAACAAACATAAATTCGTTTGATTCAGTGGTTTTAACCTATTTTGGGTTTAATCCAAAGCAAAAAAAAAGTAGTTTAATCCAAAGCAAAAAAAGTCATTTTATTTACTAACAACACTAGTCATGTTATGAAATGTATACATTAATGTATTTTAAAATGTTGCTTGCCTTGTTTTGTATATTTGTTCAATATTCTCAAATAAAATATGAAACATACACTGTCGGGTGTTTGTGGGTTCATTACTATTCAGCTACCTTTTTAATAGGCCAGAATCCTCTTGATAACATATGCTGGAATAATTTAGGTACTTTCTTAGAATTTGGACAAGGAGATATCTCATACCTTCTAGTTTTCCCACAGGCTGCACGATGAGATATATAGCACTAGGTTTAACCTTGTCCCAAATCCAAATGGTCACTGTTTGTTGCACCAGGAGAGCTCTGAGTTGCTTTAAACCCTCCTCCCAGACTTCTTCCATCCTTTCCACTTCCATCTACTGTATAACTGTGTTGGTAGAGCTTTACATGCTCCTGATTAATCCAATAAAAACTTTAGCTTAATTAAGATTGAGTTTAAAGCTATGTGCATTTGCTAGACAAAGTGGACAAATGCAAGCATCAAAGACTATTAAGCAAAACATCCATAAAATTGTGGCCCACTAACTTGCAAGTCAGCAGCTGAAAAGAAAAAAAGAGGATACCAGGAAATCCCCACATTTCACAGCTTAGCTATGATACAAGTAAGGTGGGGAAAAATAATGGGGGAAGTGTCTAGTTCATGGAAGCGATAGCAGGCAAATGGAGGAAACCACATCCATGCCATTGTTTAATACATCTCAAATGGGAGAAAATACCAGTTGGAATGTGTGGTTTGGTAGTAGCACTAACCACCATATTGGCCGATTTTTCTGTTGTACGCTGCTTCCCCTCTACTTTCAGCACAGAGCCATTATACGACACACAGGCTAGGCTTTGTGCTGAAAGAGGAGAGGAAGTAGTGCACCCCACTGCGGTAGCAGCCTAGGAGCCTTCCCATGTTGTCTTACCAGCAATGGGGACAAGCCGGGCGATGATTATTCCCACATGGAATGAGGGGTAAGCTAATTCACACAATGCAGGGTGTATAGCAATGGGTTCTTCATGCCGCCCACTGGGAGCCCATGGATTCACTACAATGTGGGCCTTTATGACGAAGTCCTAAATTACACTACAAACAGTCAAGTAGTCAGTATAGGGCATAAAATAAACAACCATTACATGGCATGAAATCCCCAACATTTGCTGGCAGTTTGGATGGATCCTGAAATTATTTATTCCCAGTCATTTGAGTGTATTTGCTAGCTTGTAGTACACAAGCATTAAAAGAAACTATTAAACAAAATTCATGGAAAGTCAAAGATTGGATTACATTGTGCAATGTAAAAGGGACAAATATTTTTGCTGGCTGCTCTATGGTATCAGGTCTATTATTCTTTTTCATGAATTACCCCCCTCCCCTGTACATTTATCTTAATAGTGCCTTTAAAAACCACATTGTTCTTCAATTCGCCACTAGTGATGCTAATATAAATGATTAATCATGAAGAAGGGAGAGAATATAGCACCTTCTTTGCTTAAATGGTAGAGATTTTTATGTATTCTCCTAAATCAAAATGACACCATAAAATCACCAAATAGACATTCCTCGTCTGAAAAAAAAAAACACACACACACACCCTTCAAATTGCTTCTACAGCATTGTCACTTAACAGAAACATGTACATATAAATAAGCTTGGCATAAGCTCGAAGAGATGCATAAATGTAAACAGAGAAGTCATATAAATAAAGGTAGAGTATCCTTTATCCAAAATGATTGGGACCAGATACACATGGTTATGTCTCATATACACATCATACACATAACCTATTAGCTTGAATGCAATTTATACAAGATTTTTAAAACAAATTGTGCATAAAGCAAAGTTTGTGTACATTGAACCCTAAGAGAGAAGGTGTCACTATCTCAATCACTCATGAATGCCAATTCTGAAGTATTTTGGATCTTGTATTTCTGGATAACAGATACACAACCTGTATATTGAATTTCCAGGAAAGAGCACGGAGGGAAATCCAATCACACCCTTACTAACCACAATTTGTAGAGAGCTTGCAAATCAATGGAAATTTATTCTATTTTATTTTTATTTATTTCTGATATTTGTACCCCACCCTTCTCAACCCTTGGCGAGCAGGGGGGGGGGGGATCTCAGGGTGGCTTCCAGCCAGCAACAATTCGATGCTTCCAATGTACACATAGTAAAATACATAATAAAATCCAATAAGTACATACATTTAAAACATTAAATCACATTAATTAATTAAATTCTGTTTCTGTTTCAATAACAGCCTAGTGGCCTTATCTGAGCCTAATGCTGTAGTTAGAGACTCCATCAAGCATGTCCATAGGATACTATCTTATGATCATGTGGGAATTGACATGAAAGAATCTTGCAACCTTTTCAATCTTACATAATAGAGCAGAAGAAACATACAGGAATCCCTAAAAGGTGTTATCAATGGGAAAGGAACAGGACCATCTGAGAAGCTGAATCCCAAGAGGACTGGATTCAATCTCAATGCCAGGATCCTCCAATTCTTTTTCTTTGCCCAAGCAAAGGTTGGTCAACATAATGGCCATTGAGTTTACAGTACTTACTGTACTCGTTACTAGGTTATCCACCACCTTTATGTTTTTTTCATCTCCTCTGCAAGATTGTTCATACTTTCATAAGCCTTAGGAGTTTTAATAAGCAAACTATACCTGCATTTTGCCCATCCATGGTGCAGTTTTGGCAACATACGAACCAGCTTGGTGAAAACATACCAAACACAGTAATATTATAGAGCACATCAGACTATTAAAGCAGGAGCCCAATTAAAGGTATTTACAATCCATATTTCTTTGATTAGGACATCCTTTTCTGTGTTCCTTTTGTTGCTATCTGAAGTGTTGTGGTTAATTTTCACTTCACCATTTTGCATTGGAAGATAAACATAAAACTTTTTAAAAAGACCAACCAAAAGCAGAAAATGGAAAATGACACAGATTCAAACCATAAAATCTATGCCACAACTTCTGGGTCTGCTTTTTTCCTCTGGATTCATCTAAACTTGATTAGCAGCATGCACATACTGGACGTATTAAAAGCCCACCTATAGTGCTGATTGTTCAGCAGAGATTCTGGAAGAAAAAGAGTTATTAAAATATTCCAGAGTTTCAAGCTCTCCTATATACCATAGTCCATTTTGTAGACCAAATAGAAATAAAAACTTGAAAGCACATGGAGGAAGGGTGGAGAAATATTTCCTTCTCTAGGAAGTTATTAAGCATGTAAGAACTAGGCAGCCAAATGGCACTATTTCCCCTGCCTTTCTTCTTTCATCACATCACTTCAGCGGTCGGTCATGGTAAGGGCAGTTCTACAAAGTGTGACACAGATGAATGGGTCTCAATCTGGCAATGGTAAAACTCTTTGAGAGCTCGAAATATTATTAGTAGTCTCTACCCAAAATACCTTTGGGAAAACATTGAGAAAGCCTTCAAATGTTTACAGGTGCCTGGCTCAGCCTCCCAAAAGTGATAAAATCCTTGATCTGGTAATTAGATTTTGAAATGTTTCCTTTGAATGAGACTGTTACTAAAGGAACATTTTTTTTATCTATACTGCACCCCCTCCCTTTTTTTTTCCATAAATGAACTTGTAAACCTGGCTTTTTAGATATAACTGAGATGGTGGATGCATTTGCCTGGCTGGATACTCATTGTTCAATAACTTTTTAGTTTGCCTCCTATCTTGTTATAACTATGCTATTATGAGAGATACAAAATATTAACACATAATATTCTAATTGCAAGTTCCTTGATGTACGGTTTTTTCCAAATAGCATTATAATGTTTTGCAAAGAGGTGATAATCATTTTGCTGTCTTTTTTGACTTAAAAAAATAACTTTTCTGGTCAAGATAACTTTCTGGTCAAGAATTAAAATAAAACCACAAAAGGCCAACTATTTGATTGTTTCTTATGTGAAGGAATAGCCAGCACAGGTTATCTCCAAACTGCCAATGGAAATTGTTTTATCACAGACCAGCATCTCAGAGCTGTGGGGCCTCTCAAAGCTGAAATAGTCTCTTGGGCAGTGGATCCCAAACATTTTTGGTTTTCAAAAGTTTTTTGCTTTTTTATCTTTGCAGAACCCTAACTCGGTCCTTGGTTTTTACAGTATCTCTCGAAACACCATGGGCACTCCCAGACTTGACAAGAAATGCTTGTCAAAGTGGGTTTTTAAAACCCACTTTGGTGTGCATTTCTTCTTCCCCAAAGAAATGTCTGTCTCTCCCCCCCCCCAAATACCCCAATACCCCATTAGACGTAGGCCTTTCAGGAAGACCTGGGTCTAATGGGGTATCTTCAGGGCAAAGCAAGGTTTACCTGCTTTGTCCCAAATTAATTCTTTTTTACTGGAGGCATCATTTGGACACCCCTGGTAAAAGCTCGATAGGTTCCACATTTTGGGGCCTATCTGGAAGGGCCCTATGTCATGCTAGAAATATCTCACCAGAGAAAAAAGACAAGACAGGAAGAGAGCTTCAGGGCCTTTCCCCCCATTTTTTTTCTTTTTGCTTTCAAAGCGGGCTTGGACTGAATAGTCTTCAGAAGGTACATTGACCTCTAAGAAGGAAACAAGGATATTCCTTTTTAAAGATGAAGTCTTTTAAAGATAGTTTTAATGATCAAGTCAAGGGGTGTTGTGGTATTTAATTATGATTAACTGTGAATTATTTAATACTGTTTATATTTAATTCTATCTTAATGTTTGCATAAATGTATATTTTAAATTGCATGCTAATGCTTTTATGTTAAGCTGCTTTGAATCTTCTTCGGGAGAGATAAAGTGGGGAAAAGCGGAGTATAAATAAATATAATTATAAGAATTCCCTTTATATCACAATTCTTACAGCACACTTCAGATTCACACTTCAGATTCATTTTTACAGCAACATTTAAATATAACTCGGTGTTATCACACACACTCATACTGAAGATGCAACTTATGTCTGGGATGAGAAACTTTTGACTTTCCAGATGTTTTAGCCTAAAACTCTCATCATTCTTATCAAGCATGGACTTTAGTAAGAGACTGTGGCAGTGGTAGGCTGAAAACAACTTGAGGACGA